AGAGGCTTGTAACAACTTAGGTTTATTTCCCACTCATAGGTCCATCATGGTTGGTGAGGACTCTGTTCCATGTCTCTTCCCTGGGGACTCAGGTTGACGTAGTCTCCACTAACAAGAACATAACTGGTTGCTCTAGCTGGTGGAGAAAAATGTGGTGAATTACACAGTAGCTCTTAAAGTGCCCATCAGACTGACATCCTTTGCTTTATCTCATAAGTGACTCATTACTTTAGCTTTCATTTCATGGGCCAAAGCAAGTCACATCATCACATCTAAATTGAATGGGGTGGAGAAGTACAGTACTACCATGTGTCCAGAAGGGAGAGAACTGGAAATATTTGGTGAACAGCACTACTGATGACCGCAATTACTTTGTCCTCTTATTTTTCTTGTCAGGCAAAGGAGCGAATTTTGATATTGGCATTGGGAAGGGGAAACGGACGCAGCATCATCGCCTGTCCATTCTTTTCCAGTGTATGAGGAAATCTCCTTATAATAGAGATGGTGAAATGGTCTTGGTGCTGCAATGATGCCTCTTTTCTCAGGGGAGAGGTTGGTGGGACCTCACTGTGTGCTCCTCGCTGCCTAGTACTGTGAAAGAGAACAGGGCCACCATCAGGCTCTCCCCAAAGCTGTCTCAGCTCAGTGCTCTGCCTCACTGTGTCACCATCTGAAGATGCCCTAATAATCTCTTGTCTCTAACCTGGCTTCCATTCAAAGACTAGCAGGACCAATCTCATCATAACTCAACGTCTCTGTTTCCCTAAATCACTGTCAGAAATCTAGGCATCCCGAATGATCTCTCATCATGGAGGTGTTTATCCCCATTCTGCTCTGTAATCCCTCCCCTTCTTCCATCCCACTGTGTCCTCTGCAGTTTACAGCGGGCACCAGCCAACTCCCTGCCAGACGATCCCACTACTCCTTCCCAGTAAATTTACTTTTCCTCTTTCTGAGACATCTACTTCATATACTCTTTTTTCTTCTCAAACATCACTCATATTCCATAGAAAAATTAGACGAAATCAGATAAGATACTGCCTCATCTTTTCACCACCTAATCCACTCAGACCTACCTGCCTCTGTATCTACATGTCCCACCTCACTCGTTAAAATGGATTAAGTGTCCGCACATCAATCTAATGCCAACCCCCAGGTGCCCTGAAGCTCAATTCCTTTTTCCTTCTCAAGAACATTCTTTCTTAATTACCCATTTTCTCTCCTATATTGACAATTTCTCTCTCTACCAGATCGTTTCGGCAAGCAAGCATGCTTTTATGGCACCCATTTAAAAATCTTCCCTTGACCCCATGCTTCATTCTAGCTATTGCTTCATTTCCTTCTTCCCTTCACTGCAAAACTCCATGAAAGTTTTATAATTGCACAGTTTTACATCCCATTCTCTACTAAACTTACTTCAGTTGTGCTTTTATTTTCATCATGCCACTAAAATGGTTTTTACCAAGATTAAATGCTGACAATAATAATAGCTAACACTTACAGGGTGCCTGCTATGGGGTAGGCAGTGTTCTAAATACTTTATACGTATTAACTCATTTAATCCTCAAACCAACCCTATGAAGATGATGCTATTAATATCTCTCCTCTAGACTTGAAAAACTGCTACTCAGAGATGTTAGGTAACTTGCACAAGGTCACACAGCTGTTAGGAGGAGCTTAGATTTAAATCCAGCTACTCTGATTTTAGCAAACCCAAGAATCTATTCTTTCACTGCTGTGGCCTGGGTTCCTTTCCTGGTCAGGGAATCACACCACCTGTCTGTTGGTTGTCATACTGTGGCAGCTGCATGTTGCTGTGATGCTGAAACTATGTCACCGGAATTTCAAATACCAGCAGGTGGTACCACGGTGGACAGGTTTCAGCGGAGCTTCCAGACTCAGACAGACTACGAAAAAGGACCTGGCAACCCACTTCTGGAAAAATTGGCCATGAAAACCCTATGAATAGCAGTGGGGCATTGTCTGATAGAATGCTGGAAGGGGAGAGGATGGCACAAAAAGACCGGGCGGGGTTCCGCTCTGCTGTCCGTAGGGTCACTAGGAGTTGGAGTCAACTCCACGACACCAATAGACTAGTTTTGGAGTCTATGCTCTTAGCCATTACATCATATTATTCTTTTAATTATTCTCGTCCTATTTCTGACACAATTATTTCTCCTCATTTATTGAACCTTTCAGCAGCCTTTGACAAAGCCGATCAATCCCTCCTTCGTGAAACATCTTCTTTTTTCATTTTCCGTGCCTTCGTCTCGTGTGCTTTTTCTCTTACTTCGTGTGTTGCTCCTCATCAGTCTTCTTTGCTGTTTCCCCCATTCCAGATCTAGGTTTTGAACTGTTCTTTCTCTTTTTCTCTTCTCTGCTGGCAACCTTTCTGTGGTAATTTGGTTCAGTCTCTGGCTTGAAATATCACCTCTCAGCTGTGTGTGTCTGTAGCCCAGATTTCTTCCCTAAGCTCTACTTCACAAATGTTGCTGCCTGATTGACATCTCTACTCAGGTGTCTTATAAAGATCTCAAACTTAACACGGACAAAACAGAACTACGGACATTCTAACCAAACCTGTGTTTTGCCGAACTCTCCTTTCCCTAGGCCTTTTCCGTCTACCAGAGCCCCCAGCTTCTAATTTCTGAGGACAAGCTCGAGAGTAATCCTTAATTCCTTCTTCCCCTGTAGCTCACATTCAATACACTAACAAGTCAAATCAACTGTACACTGAAACATCCCCCTCCGACCTGCTACTTCTCAACTCTGCTGCTGTTAGTCTAGTCTAGTTTCATCCTTCATAACCTAGACTCTTGAACCTCTTCATAACTGGTCTCCCTGACTCCACTCTTGTTTTCTTCGCTCCATTCTCTAAAGAGCAGCTTGAGTTAACTTCTAAAGCATGAATGAGATGATACCGTTTCCACCCAAAGGCTTTCCTTTGCAATGAGAATAAAATCCAATCTCCTTACTGTGGTGTACCAGCCCCTACATGACCTTCCTACATTTCTGACACGTTTCCCTGGACTTTCAATTGTTCAACCACACTCTAGCCACACTGGTCATCTTGCTGTCCTGAGAACACATCACACTTTTCCCCATTCCAGTACCTTGTCATTTGCTGCTCCTTCTCTTTGGAATGTTCTTCCTTTCTTAGATCTTCATAGTGGATGCTTCCTTCTCATCACTCACATCATCATTCAGATTACCTCCTCAGAGAGGTCTTCTCTAAGACTCTTGCTAAAATATACATTCTCTCCCTGCTTAATTACTCTCCATCACATTACTCTACTGCATTTCCTTCAAGGACCTTAAAAATCTAATATTGTCTTATTTAATCATTAACTTAGATATTTATTATTTGTTGTCCCCACAGAAATATGAGCCCTTTGAGGGCTGGGTCTATGTCCCTCTTATTCATTGTTGCATCCCCAGGACGCAGAACCATGCCTGATGTGTTGGATTGACTCAAAATGTGACTAAGTGCAGTGTAGAAAGCAGTATATTGACTTGAATGATATAACAAAGCATTCCATAAATTCAAACCAAATTGAATCATCCTTAGCTAAGAAAATATTTTCCAGAGGGTGAGAGGATAGGAATAGAAGTCTGGATCTCAAGTTTTTAGTTTTGTGTTTGAATCAAACACAGAGAAATCCCCATTTGTATCTATAGTGGCAGAAAAATCTTTGTGACCTTGGAAGTGGTATTTGCTACTTGAAAGTTCTTTTGAGGATTACATATCAAAGCTGTATGTCACACCTGAGTTTCTTGGTCTTACAAGGAGGGATGAGGTGGACAATATGTGTGATTTGCTCTCTCTTACAAGAAAAATCTAGACAAGATATAACCTGAGTGTTACTACAGTGGTTCCTCATCTCCAAGGGGAAGATTAACATAAAGACATGATGTGCTGATCTCATTTACAGTGGGTCTCAACGTGTTTATAACAGTAACTACTTCAGATCTACTTTTTCTGTTTAAATTTCTGTTTTTGTATCAATCACTTTTTAAAAATTTCTGAAAGCATAGTATTTAAACAAATGTTAGACTTTAGGCTGTTTTTATTTTTAGCAGATGAAACTTTTGCTTTATCATTTCACAGTAGGGTTAATACTTTGAAGAAGAAATGCTGAAAAAAAAAAATAACGATGAAGACAAACTAGAACTCTATCATGATGTGATAAGTGAGGTCCCAAAATTTCAATCACCCAAAAAGTTCACCCTCGAGGTTCACTTACTGGGGATTAGCGAAATGGGTGGGAGAGGCTCACAGCTTATTGGACTGGGGTTCTAGACTGGATACAAATCCATCCAAGTTCTGGCTGCAGTTGGTGCCGTTTAGTGGCGGTTGTTCCCTGAGGCAAAATTGGAAGGAATGGTTTTTGGGTCCTGAGATTGGCTGGGACTTTCGGGGAAATGGCAGCAATTTCAAGAATCATCCAATTAGTTCATTTCTAGGGAAATGGTGGAGAAGAATTACTAAGGGGGTGGGTTTCTCCCTCTGCATCCTCACTTCCTAAAAAGAGGTCCCCTGCCTGACCTTCCGCTCACCCCCAAAGGAACATAACCTTTCTCGACCCCATGCACTTTGAGAATGGGGCTGGTCTCAGCCCCTTTGCAGGGCACCTTGTCCAGAGGTTTACCTTACTTTGATGAACATGTTGAACAAAAGGGTGTAAAAGAAAGTCATATGCAAGTAAATATGTTTTTGATGGCACCACATATTGCCTCTATATTTCAGACGGTTCTAATAGCTCATTCTAATCTAGTCACTAATTGTTGCTGCTTCACCAAGCGTTTGCTGACAGAAATGGTCGTACCACATTTAGAAAAGAAATCAAATCTGCATTATGGAGTCAGCATCATTATATTTCTAGTTTCATGCATGGTGGATCCCTTATAGAGCTATATTTAATGTACTTCTAATTAAAAAGAGGGGGGAAGTGTCCAAAGCTTTCTCAATGTTGTCTCATCTTTTGTTTTTGTTTGTGCAGCTCACCATGTTAAAACGGGCACTTGCGAGGTGGTGGCCCTCCACAGATGCTGTAATAAGAACAAGATAGAAGAACGGTCACAAACAGTCAAGTGCTCCTGCTTCCCCGGGCAGGTGGCTGGCACCACGAGAGCTGCTCCATCTTGCGTGGATGGTGCGACTTCTTCCATTACTCATTGCGATAGTGTAGCTGGGACTGCGTAGCATTGGAACCCCACTCTAATGCTGCTGACTGAGGTCAATCCTCGGGGAGCACGCTGTAAATCATGTGGTTGATATGAGGTTATTTGGGGGGCATTTTGAAATCTAAAATCCTTCGGAGGGAGGTCTAAGATCTTATGCAGTTTTGTTACAAAAGGCATTATAATGAGGTTCCAACAAGTCCATGTGCTTCTTACTTTGATACCGTGAAATATTGATTTGCCACCCAAGGAAGGGGGTGTGTGTGTGTAAATTAACTGAGGAAGGAAAGATAAAAATAGATGATTAAATAGTATGGGTTTCTAATCCTATGGATGGTTGCTAAGAATAAAAAAATAAACATATATATGAGTAAATGTTTAGCTGCGGATAGAATTTACATGAAATAGTGATTTTTTTGAAGATGCATCAAAATAAATAATTTCTTTATTTGAGGCTGCACCTAATTACAATAGGATATTAATCTTTGTATGGGTCTATTTAAGTAATGTTACCATAAATAATTATTTGTTAAGTGCTCATATTAGCATGGCACATGCCTGGGGTTAATGGTTACCACAGAGAGTAAAAGAAAATTGTTTTAATTCTAATGCCCTCCTGATTTTCAGCCTACTAATGGGAAATATAACATTTATTCTAAAATGTTGAATCTAAACTGGTCATGGGCTCATTTTCTTATATGTTTATGTAAATCAGTGCATGCACACATCCTCATAGTTTCTTTCCAATATATTAGTTTTAATAAAGCCTATATGTTCACATTAGAAATCTTTAAACGACGTGTCTATTGTTAATAATACTATATTATGCATTTAAAAATTCGTTAGGAAAGCAGATCTCATGTTAAGTGTTCTTACTACAATAAAATAAAATTTAAAATAAAAGAAAAATCCCTTTAGTCAGAAAATCTAGAGAGATTTAGCTCCTGTGGACAAAAAAAGAAGCTTGCCTCAAAACCCAGTCTACCCCTGGGGGGAAGAATTGGTGGCTTTCGTTCCTCTTTAAATGTGCCCCCAGAGAATTAACAAGCCCAAATGGAAAACATTGAATCAATTTTTCTATCTCCTGTAGCTTCAATAGTGGAACAGAAATGGTGGTGCCATATGCAGCCGTGTCTTGAGGGAGAGGAGTGTAAAGTTCTTCCGGATCGGAAAGGATGGAGCTGTTCCTCTGGGAATAAAGTGAAAACAACCAGGGTAAGTGGAAAACCATCTTGGGAAAGCAAAGTGTCTCTGAATTAATAGAGTGTGGGGCTTGTGCAGTGACATCTCTAAGTGGTGGTTGTACAATGAGAGAGTATAGTTTTCTATAGTACGTTTTTTTCCCATTTTCTCCCCAGCTCATTTTTTCATAGCACATTTTTATTTCACTCAGAATAACATCTTCTGCAGATTGCCATCAACTGTCACATTATCTAATAAATAAGCACTGTTCCGTCATGAGATACTAACACAAATGTGAAACCCCCCCAGGATGCATGTCAAATGCTGGGAAGGTGACCTTAATCCCTTATTCTTCTGATGGACAGTCATCTGAATAAATTCTCAAAAAAAAGATTTTATTTTATATATGACAATTAAATTTTCCAACTAAAAGATTCTTTCATTTTTATGAAAGTAATTATTTTGATCTCCCTGATTTCTGGATCAATAAATAGTTTTTAATGGGTAAGTTTGTAATCATTGTAATGGGTTAGTGAGAGGAGTTTCCGAATCTCAGGGTCAATATGACAAGAATACTTTTCAGACAATGCATTTCATCTTGCAGTGACTGACCTCTAGGGAATGGGAGAGAAGTGAAAAACAGTTAGCTTTATTCTTTGATTTCCTGACTAGTTCGATGGATATTCTGGACTGGCAGAATTTAAATTCTTTTCTTGGTAGAATCATCAAATGAAAGCTTGTTTTAGTCTTGTTTTGCTTTTTCTCTGAAGGGAAAGCAGATTATTGATTAGAATTGGATAATTGGGGACTAGAACAGAATAATGGCATATGGGGATGTTTTATAAAAAGGTAACGAACTAGAAACTAGTTAATTTATGATATTGTTTGACCATAGCAGGTTTTTTTTAAACCTCATTTGGACACAATCAAGAGTACTATTTTATAATGCCATCAGATATATAATTTAGTCTACTGAGTAATAACTGTTCAGACATACATAGAAGTAACCAGGTTTACAATAGTATAAATAATAACTTTATATTTTGTGAAATTATTCCTGACTTTAACTTGTTGGCTAAATGCTGGTACATCTTTCCAAAATCCAGAGTGCCTGATCAGTTAATTAGAATAATTGTATTATTCAGTTAGTTAGCACATGATATAATCCATATTGATTTGTTAAAAGCATTTTGGTAATATAAAATTTCCTCGTAAGCTACTTATAGCATGAAATATTTTTTTCCTAACACTATTAATTCTTAGTCCAAAATAGCACTCACGGAAATTCACTGCAGATTTGAGATTCTAAAACAGTTTTTTAAAAAAATAGTGAGCTCTCTACAACTAGATTCTATATTTTTGTTACTTCAGTGGACATAAGGAAGCTAACATTTATTGGATACTTAAAACATATGCCATATACTGAAGAAAGTGCTTCATGTGAATTAGCTCATTTAATCCTCTTAATAGCCCAGTGAAGAAGATAATATTATCTCCTTTTTACAGATGAGTAAAAGAAAACTTCAAAATGTTAAGTGACTTCCCAAGGTCATATAGCTGATTAATAGGGAAGGCAGGGTTCAAACCACAATCTTATTCCAGAACCTAATCTTTAACCTCTAGTTTGTACCAGAAAATTTAACTTACTCTTAAGTAATGGATGAAAGTTTTCTATAGTTCTGTTCATATGAGGTAGACCTTTAAAAATATCTTTAACCTTTTGGCTTATTGAAATGAAAAGGTCAAGACCATGTGATCTAAATTCTCGTAGTAAATTGTTTTAGAAGCGTTGCTTCTTGTTGTGCTGTATTCTCAGTGGTCCAAACTTAAGATTGAGTCTCTGTTTCACAAGTTCTTCGTAATGTAATGAAACAAGAAGGAGGAGAGACTGAGAGCTCGTGAGTAGGGAAGATCACATCTAGATCCTCTAGTTTTAGTTATAAGGTGCTCTCCACATGTAGTGGATTGCACTTCTTATTTTTCTCTCATCTCTTTTGCCCTGGAGAACAGCTCTTAATGGAGGACCTCATAGACAAGATTGTGGAGAGGATTTTTGCAACAGTAGGTGTTTGGATTAAATTACTTTTAAGATTCCTTCCAACTATGAGATTCTATAATTCTCATTTAAAAAGGAAAAATCATCATCGTATGTAAGAGAAGACAAGAGGGCTTAAAAGAAGGAGCTTCTTGAGTACAATCAAAGTAATTTTTTTTTCCTTCACAAGAAAAAAGATTCCTGGTGAAAATGAAGGGACTTAGACATTTTCAACTAAAGGAGCATCATGACATTCCAAATGGCTAGGCAAAAAGATGTGCGATTATGAATATTAGTTTGGCTCACAAAACAATCTAGGTAAATTTCTCTGAGGCCCTAAAGAAGCAAGGTTTCCAAGGTCTTCAGGTCATTATTTTTCTGCCATCTCCATGGAAATAGTGCAAAAGTATAGGAAATAAGAAAAATTCCTGAAACAGCTCAGCCACAATATTGCTTTGCCCACAGTGGAAGTGTTGGACAGAGGTGGTTTCTGCCATACATAAATAGCAGCAATATTATTGAGAAGAAACCTAATCATTATCTTAATCATTGGCATTATTTTTCACTGGCCAGTCTTAAGTAAGGTAGCCATGGTTGTGGTGACCCAAGCAGCCATTGAAGCCCTGATTTGGCAGGTCCTAGCCACAAATTGGAAAATCTAGAAGTTAAACAGGAATAGGTTACAAAGTAACTGAAGAGCTGCTCTCAGCCAAAAGTCATTTGTGTTTCTTACACAAGATATGTTGGTCTTGTGGGATTATCAGTGCAAGCAAAATGGTCCAAGAAATGATTAAAATTTGCAATAATGTACATCCTCCTTTATAATTGCCCATATCCAATCTGGAGTGCTCTGGTAAGCCTAACGTTAGGACAAAAGCAGTCGGCCAAAAACAGCAATGAGGCTTGCTTGGCCTCATCAGAGATGTGTAGTACCTTCCAGAATTGGCTACAAAGCAGAGACTGCGTGAATTCCTCATTGAAGACTACTTTGGAACTTACACCGTACTTCCTCCTATAAATGTGAATTATATCCTCTCTGTCTTTGTACTGGCTTCAGGAAGCTTATTGTTCTGACCCATTCCCTATTTGTCCCACCAAGGGGAAAAGGCAAAGCACAGAGAGCCCTTGTTGGAACATCAATATTTTACGTGTGTGTTCTTCAAAACCCCAATCATTTAATCTGGAGAGAAAGGCGGATGCAACATTTGTTTCTGGAACCCTATTTCTTACTTTAAATGTGGAAACTTATGACTGTCTGTGACATCCATAACCATCTATTGTATTATTTTTGAGAACTCCTAAGTTAAAAAGAAAGACAGGAAAAGTCATGAAAGCCTTTTGATTTCAAACTCACTTTCAAAGATAAATAGGAAAGAACTTTTCAGAGTCATTAATAAAATAATGGTCTTTCCAGTGTGAAAGAACACATAATTATATGCTAATTATCTAACGCAAAAGTGGCAAGGGGAAAGGTGCTGCACAGCTTGTAAGATGTGAGAAAAAAATCTTTGATAACATTGTTGGACTCCTCAGAAAAAACAGACTGTGATTTCATTTCTTTTAATGTTTTGATCTTCTCTCTCTGAGGAACATCGCCTAAAGGAAGTCACATTCTGCTTTTAGGATTTGCAGCCGTTGGCCGTTGGTGTGGGCTCCAAATTCCAATGGTCACTGCAGCTCTCATGTCAGAGTCTTATCTAAGGAAAAATGAACTTAACTTCATATTAAACAAGATTTTACGTTTTTATTAGAAACATTATCTTTATGAATCATGGTCTATTTACTTTTCATATGCTTAAGAAATTTTCTGGATAATTTTTAACTAATTGGAATTCTTTCGTCTTTACTTATTTACTTAAAGTGCCTTAAGCAGGTAAGAATTCTGTAATTTTTTAATGTCTCTTTACATATAAATGGATTTGAAGGGTAGGCATAAAATATTTTATTTTATTGTATATGCAATGAAAATCAACAGATATTAAGAATTTCCTGTGCATAAACATTCTATAATAATAATGCTCATATTACAATCAAAGCAACAAAGGCAAATATGAAAGCATTTACTTAGCTCTTAGAGTGTACTGGGCGCTCCACTAAGTGCCCTGCAGGTATTATCTTATTTAATTTTCCCAACCATAGTAGGCACTAACAAGGGTACAAAGATGTATGGCATGATCCCTGCCAACCAGGAGTGTGCCCTTGAGTGGGGGAATGAATAGTGTACGGCATTATTCTTTTCTTTATCCACATGCAGCCCACTGATGATAGACATTGGCATCACTGGTATATGTAAGTCAAGAATAACATTGTTATAATAATGGAGATAGCATAAGCCTTTAATTTAGCTTCCTCATCTGCAAATAAATGAGGATGGTGAGCTAGATTCAATTTCAAGTTCCTCTAACCAATATTTATTCTTTGGTTCCATATGCCAAGGACATTTCTAGCTTCCTTTCCAGCAAAATTTATATGACATTAATAACTGGCTAATCTCAGAAGATAGATAAGCGTTAGGTCTTTAATCCTTTCCCTGTAAGGGAGAAAAAAAATAGCATCTTATGATGCTTTGTTGATTAAAGCCTCAAGTCATCCCCTTCCAGATGCGGATTTTATACCAAGACTCGGCGACTGTGCTCTGTTGAACAGCGTCTAGGGATGCTGTTTCAGGCCCAAGGCAAAGGAAGAACACAGCAAGAGGAAAAAGGTTCATTTCCTCCCCTTAAGGTGGTGCAATTTGTGTGAATTCTTCAGTCTTGGTGCTCTCTCTAGCCTTGCAAATTTAATCACAGACTTAGGATAGTGTAGTTCTTTCTTGACCAGCCATTCTTAGCAGACACATGCTCCATTCATTTGTCTTCATTTCACCTCAGGTCAGGCCCTAAATTGCACCCTGGTCCATAGCACAGAGCGTGATGGTCTTTCAGGCTGTGATGTTCAAATTATTTTGATGGTACCTACAGTAAGAAATACATCTTACATTGTGATCCAGTATGCACAC